AAACAGCCTTATGTTTATAAGTGACAGTTTTCCTGCTAAGTACCTGCATGTCATAAGCATTTGAATTAAAATTACCATATTGAAATCAAATCTGTTTTTTAATTTTTATTTGGTGTGCGTTGGAACAGGGGTAGTCTTATACGGTGAGTATAGCCCAAACTCTATATTTTAACTGGAAAAGTTGGGGGTCGTCTTATACACCCAGTCGTCTTATACGCCGGAATATACGGTATCCATAAATAAAACCTTATGTTATGATTTGAATAAAAATAAATCCTACTCAATGATCTTTTTCCCCCAGAAAAAATGGTGTAGAATTGTAGTTTTAATTAATTATAATAATTGAAACTCTGTATGATTCCTATTCCTACTCCTACTAGCAATATTACCATATACATATTTTACTATTATATTTTCAGGAAAAATACAGGGTCCCCAAGCCTAAAAATTAGGTACCTAGGGTTAAAAATGGCATAGACCTCGAGAACACAATAAAATTCTTATCTAAGTTAACATGTCTGAACGAAACACAGAATCCTTCTGAGCAGTGATGGGATTCAAATATATGAACAATCGGTTCTCTGTGTGGATGCTGCTTCCGGAAATCCATTCTGGGCAACAAAAAATTAGTTACTGGTTCTGCCGAAGTGGTGCGAACCAGCTGAATCCCACCACTGCTTCTGAGCCCCTGCATTCTTACAGATTTACAATAAATTAGAAAGTTATACTCACCTACTTCTTCTGAAGATTTTGCAATACCAAGATTGTCTCTCAACCAACGAACAACAGCTCCTGCAATAGCAACAGAGCCCTAAAACAAAAAGGCAGACTAAAAATGTTTCATTTATTACTTCATGATTGTTCTTGCAGTAGAGCATCCAAATATGTATTAAAATGGATGCATGCCTATTTATTTTATCAAATTTATATGCTGCCCATGTCCTAGTCACAGATGTTTTTGCAGTTCTTACAACTATTTTTAAAGCAATCTTAAAGATCTTAAATAGCTGTAGAATGCTGCGACAGCATTCTACAGAATTATGGAATCATTCACAATTAAAATTTCATGGAAACAACGGAAACTCAGTCTAATTCATACCCATGTTTGACTTGCACACATGAAATGATCCTGAAATTACATGAAATATTGGTACCTCTTCAAATACTGTATCTTCTCACTGAGTCCATATTACCGGTAATCAATTAGATTTATGAACATATGAACCACTCAAAGTGCACATTTTTTCGTAGAGGTACATAAAATGGTGCTGACATCGAAGATACTCTCGTTCAGGGGTCGCCAACCTTTCTGGGTTGGCAGACCGGTGGGAAAGGGAGGGACAGGCACCTTTATGTGCGCATGAGCACACACGCAAATGTGGCTTTGTGCGCGTGCGAGTGAACGGGGCTGTGAGCATGCACACTCCACAAGTGGGGCTGCTAACACCGGCACACAGCTCTCCTAGCGCTGGTGAGAGGCTTGCGGCTCGGCTAGCATTGACACAAGGTAGGGAGTGAGCACGCGCACATGCGTGCGTGCACTGGCCAGCCACTCATGCTGCCCAGTGGCCAAGAGGCCACAGTCCGGTAGTGGGCTACGGCCCGTAGGTTGGGGACCTCTGCTCTAGCTACATGAGTTATAGCATTTATCTATAAATAAGTGGTTGGCTGGCACCCACTGAAACTGATATATCAAAATGCCTATAATGAATAATTTGACTTACTTCTAATGCATAACATACAGCCTTGTCTCTGCCCAATTTGTAAGCCACAGTGGTTAGGAGGCCATGCTCAGAAAGTGCAGGCTGAGAAAAACAAAGAAAAAGAAAGTATTAGTTATTCTTTATTTCCGCTTTATAGGAAAAGTCACTGTATAATAGTCATGTACAATTTTAAAACATAAGTGGAAAGTTTAAAATATTAATTACTTACCAATAAATATTTCATGGGGGAATTATGATAGCTAAATACATTTTTCACATCTTAATAAACAATAATCTTTCTGGTTATATTAATTACTTATCTAGAAATCTAATTGGCTATTTCATCTGTTAAAGATAGCTATTGCCAAAATACTAAACTAATTATTTTTCAGTTGTCTTAAACACTGGTTAATGTATTAGCTTTTTAATACGGGTATCACTTTAAGGGTTTCATACTAATCAATTTCTCAAAAAAATTATGAAGCTAAAACATGAACCAGGAGTCCTATTCCAACATGATTTCAACTTGCCTTTTGTGAGATGAATGGCTATATGAATTTGATTAATAAGTAAAATAAATTATTTAAAAATTATATAGAAGACATTAAAGACAAAGGAAACATATCTGAACTATGTTTTTTTAAAAAATATACAATTAAGTGTAATGTGCATTAAGGTCTTTTTATTTTAAAAACAGCAGATTGTTTCATTCATAGCACTAACCTTATGGCCTGTATTGCAGAGTAAGAAGCAGCCTGTTCCATACCTACAGTGAAAAAAAAAAACAAGTTACTGAAGTACATCTGAAAAGCAGAATGTAATTCTTCAGCTAAATTGCTGAAGAAGAATCTGCAGCAAATAAATTTAAAAAAACTTGGAATAAAAAATCACTCTAAAACTATTCATGAATAGCAACAATCTAAATGTCCACATTTCCTATGCTCCATATAGTATCCAAATTAAATAGCATGGTTACATGGTCAATCCAGGAAATTCCAGAGAAAATTTTGTTCCCCTGAAATTAACCCAACAAACAGAAAAAAAAATTACCTTTATCTGCACATCTCTAAGAAGTACTGGATTGTTTAAGCCACATTGTATTGATTTTGTATTATATTGATTTTCCTTTCTGTAATAAGTCTATAATGTAATAGTTCCTATTAATCTTACGTATTCTTTGCTTGGCCATCCTTGAAGCACATTTGTCCTACTAATGCAGCAGACTGATCACCTAAACACTGGAAAAACAAATAATTCCATAATATTTAACCAAAAAATGTTTACACATTTTTTTTATTTAAGTAATCATATTAGATTCTTTTTAGAGAAATAGGTTGGTATACTTTACTGTTAAGAAAAAAAAAATCCAACAGAATTAAACAAGGAACTCAAGAAGATTTATTCTGGCAAATGATAAATAGCAGTGGTTCTTTATATATGAGTATCTGTTTCAATTAAAATACTGAGGTATGCTTTAATTAAAAATATTATTTTGACATCTAATTTTTATTTTTGGTTCTAGAAATTATTAGGAGATACAATCAGAATACAGTATATTCAATACAAATTTGAAAATACTATTCAATAATTTTGGCTGATTTTCTTTACATATACAGTCAAGAAACATTTAGAACATTATATTTTGTCACCTTGCAAAAATAATTGCTTAGTGGACAATCAGTTTATGTGACAGGATTTTGCAACATACTCTTAAGGAGTATACTTCCTATATATATATAATGGCCATTTATTATGAATTCATCTGTTCCAGATCTATACCTGGAAACGTAACAAAAATAATTACTATACTTTTTTTTGTTATACTCTAAGCATGCACATATTACTTTTTTCTTATTAAGTTTACTTTTAATAAAACAAGTTATAGCAAATAGATATGATATGAGGATTCTAATACTTGGCAAAAATTATATTAAAATATCAGCATAGCTTTATTTAGGAAACTCACCCCAGAAATTGGCACACCAGTCAAAGCTCCAGAACTCTGCCAAAGAAGTCATTTTAAAAATAATTATGCAGCTGTTTTCAATTAGTTTACAAATAAGAAAAATAATGTACAATTAGAACATGATTGCTTATCGTTCATAAGCAAATTAAAATAATGTAAAATTGTTAGCAGAAATGAAAATGAAAAAAATAGAGGGAACAGAGAAAACTGCCATCTGGCAAGTTAACAAAATAAAAGGCAAATTAGGTTCTCCACTGCAAGGCTTTTCAACCAGTGGTACGGGTACCACCTGTGGTACATTAGCACCTGGCAGGTGGTACGCGACCATCCTAGAAAAGTGGTAGCGGGGAAGGGGAATGAGCTGAACCGGTGGCAGCATCGCACAAGCCTGAGTGAGAGATGCTGGAGCTGCAGGGCTATCAGGGCTCAGTGAAAGTGCCAGGATCAGCGCCAGGCTCCAGCTGGAGCTCGGTGCTGATCCTGGTGCTTGTGCTGAGCCCAGAAGAAGCGCCGATCAGCTGGAATGTTGCAGCATCTCCAGGGTCTTGCGATTTACATTCAGATGCTTGGCAACTGATTCATATTTATGACGGTCACAGTGTCCCAGGGTCATGTGAAGTGACCAAAACCTGCTGCAACCACCCAGCAGACGGTGGTAATAAAAACTAAACACCCCCACCCCATCCCCGCTGCCAATCCTCAACAGAAATGCTCACAACAATGAAAACCTCGGACAGGAGGAAGAGCGCCATTGTAACTTTGGACAGTCACTAAGCAAATTCTTGTAAGTCGAGGACTACCTGTACATCATCACTTTTTCCCTTTTTTGGGGGGGGTCATCAAGTTTTTGACACCTTGCTAGGCGACTAGTGGTACTCGGATATTGCCATATCCTAAAAATGGTACAATGGGTGAAAAGGTTGAAAAGCCCTGCTCCACTGCATTGGACATGTCCTGAGTATCCCACATATGTGGAACAATGATGGGTGACACATCTTTTCCTTCAAATGCTGCTGAAATATAGTTCCCTGTAGCTTCACTAAGCATGGTAAACAACCATGAATGGTGGGAGAAAACTCTGAGTCCTGTACTTAGTCCAGTGGTGGGATTCAGCCGGTTTGCACCGGTTCGGCAGAACCGATACCTAATGTACCTTCAGTTCAGTGAACTGGTTGTTAAAATGGCACTTGAAAAAAGCGGAGTCAGTGTGCGCACCTGCCTCGCGCTTGTCCTGTGTCCACCGACCACTTCAGATAAGCACTGCAGCTTATCTGAAGTGGTCGGCTAGGCACAGAAGCGCCACAGAAACAGTAGGATCTATATGCACGCCTGCTATGTGCTCACCCGTCACACTGTGAGGTTCCACTACTTACAGGAGGCCGCGAGGCTCATCACGCCAATTATGCACTGAGCCTCGCAGCCTCCTGCAGCATGCAGTGGCACCAATGCAATTGGTGCAATGAGCCTCGAGGCATCCTGTAGCAAATGGCGGCACTGGCGTGATTGGCACCCAACAGGAGGTGCCTCCACCCACGCCACAGCCCAGCAGCTTGCCTACGCATTCCTTGACCAAGGGGGCTTGGAGCCGGGGCATCTCGAAGCCTCTGCCAGTCAGCAAGAGCCGAGCTGCAAAGCATTGCAGCAGCAGCCTAGGCAAGATTGGTGCCGCCGAAGCCAGCCTGGTGTCTAGCAAGAATCTGCACCGCCCATCTCCACCCGTGCCTCTTCCTTGCCCGAGTTAGCCATGCTCTCCACAGCGCACTGCAGCTGATCTGAGGCATGGAGAGCACGGCTGACGGGTGAGCGCGCAGTAAGCACACACACAGACTCTGCTGTTTTCAGCGGCCCTTCTTGCCGCTGAGGCTGCCGCTCGCCTTCCTCCGCCAACTTCTAGTGCATGGAGAATCTGCATCGCCCACCTCCCCCCTGTGCCTTTGCTAAATCGATCACGTGGCTAGAAATGAGGTTTAGCAGGCTGAGCGTGCAAGAAGAGGCATGGGTGGAGGTGGGTGGGATAGATTCCTACTAGACATCAGGCCGGCTTCGGTGGTGCCACTCTTGCCTAGGCTGCTGCTACAGTGCTTGCGGCTCAGCTTCTTGCTGACTGGCAGAGGCCCCGAGGTGCCCCAGCTCCAAGCCCTCTGGGTCAAGGAATGCGCAGGCAAGCTGCTGCCAATCGCGCCAGTGCCACCGCTTCCTACAGGACACCTCAAGGCTCATCACACTGGTGCCACTGTTTGCTACAGGAAGCCGCGAGGCTTGGCACGCGATTGGTGCGATGAGCCTCACGTCCTCCTGCTGCGAGTGGTGGAACTGGTATGATTGGTGTGATGATCGTTGCGGCGTGATGGGTGAACGCGTAGCAGGCGCGCACACACTGTTTTGGCACCCCTTTTTGCTGCTGGCGCTGCTGCTCACCTTCCTCCTTCGCCAACTTCTCATGCACAGGGAATCTGCACTGCCCGCTTCCCCCCCTTGCCTTCGCTAAATCGATCACCTGGCTAGAAATGAGGTTCAGCAGACAGAGCGCGCAGGCAGAGGCACGGGGGAAGGTGGGCAATGCACATTCCCCGTGCATGACACTGGGGCTTTTCCCCCCGCTGCCTTATTTAAGTTTCTTTAAAGTTTACTTGATGCAGAACCGGAAGGATACCCATTCTGCATCAAATAATCTTTAAAGAAACTAAAACAGTATGGCAGCGAAAATCTGGCAGTGGGGAAAAAACCCCAGTTTTTTGAGACACCAGACTGACGTGCATTCACATGCCTCCAATCCCCTTGCTTGCTGCAAAGCCAGATTAGAGTATTCGGGCCGCTCCTTCCAGCCCATTTTGGAGCTGGTCCAAAAGCAAAGGGAATCATTTCAACCCCACCCAATCACTGCAGGGCTTTGTTTCCAAAGACCCTCTGCACAGGCTCCGGACAAACCGAGATCTGGGACTGAAAAGCAGCAATGGGAGTGAAGAATTGTTCAAAGGAGAAGGAAGAAGGAGAAAGTGGGAGAAGTCACTACCGAACAGGTGAGGCGGGACAAGTTTCGGGGTGTGGTAGGCCTGGCTGCGGGGTCCTTTGGCATGGTAAATGGGGAGCATGGGGCAGCCCCCCTGCCTCCCCCCTGCAGAGAACCGGTTGTTAAATTATTTGAATCTCACCAGTAACTTAGTCCTTGCTTAATGACAGGTCACTTAATGACTATTCAAATTGACAGTTTGGGAAAGAGTGCTTTTGTACACCCATGGCCACATGAACACAATGTGGGTGCTTGGCAAATTGTCAGAACTTGCAACCAGTTGCCAAATATTCCACAATCATGTGATCATCATTTGTAATCTTTGCCAGCTTTCCTAGAAAGTCAATGGGGAAACCAGCAGGGAATGTTGAAGTGAAGGTATGTTCAGGATTTCAGCTCTGTTCCTGCAGCCTGCTGAAAGATTTCCCGTGTGCAGAAATGGAGTTGAAATTCTGAATATCACTAGTAAAAACAAAAGGCAAAATTTGCATTCTGAAGGTCAAACCTGCAGCTATTCTCAATCTTACACTACTCCTAGAAATGAAAACAGCTTCAAATCACATCATAATGAAAGATTTTTGCCATTAAACCTTGGTGTCATGTTCTCAAGAAACTGGAAATCCACAAATCGCATCTAGGAAGCAGCCTAGTGCCTACCCAACTCAGAAGCAGACATCATTTGAATTTAGGTAATCCTTGAGGCTACAGTAAAAAAAGGTAAATACCATGCTTCACAAATAGGAATCAGTGCCTATTATGTTGAAGTGGAAGAATAAGAGGTCTTATATTCAACAGTTATGCTCTGAAACTATTTGAAGCTTTATCCAAGAGCTAGGAGAGTAATACAGGCAAAATTATGGACATTTAGCAAATAGCCACATCACAGGAGACAAAAAATAGCTTTTCTTTTGAAATATTATATGTGTACATGCACTCTCAACAGCAGTGATCAGCTTAGTGAGCCATGCATAAAATGTAGCCAGTGCATTTCCATTCAGGGATATCTTTATTTTTTAAGCTACCACTGATATTATTATTATTATTATTTTTTTAAAAAAACACCTCTTTCTGCTCTAAGTATATTTTTAGCCAGAAACTATATAATTGTCACTTTCAGTTTTCTAATCTTTTAAACTGATGCAAAGGGATCAATTGAACTTAAATTGTAATTAAACTTTGACAAGGAGATTTCATTACAACAAAGAGTGACTTCTCTGAAGAAATGCACTGTATCTAAGCAAGATGAATGAAGATGTAACTGGCTGTGTCCTAACAAAATCCTACTCACCAGGGTAGGAGAAATTTTCTATTTCCGGCAAAATAGGTAATGAGAAAAAGGAAGAGACATAAACAAGTTCATAATTTCAAAACCTGTTGGTTTAATGACCATTAACTGTACGATGATGCTGAACAAATGATAGTTGAAGCATCCCTGTGGTCACATGATCAAAATTTGAGTGTTTGGCAGCCCATCTGCATTTATGACAGCAATGAGCCCTTCAACTGCTTATCTTCACAACAATCTCTGTGTTTGGCTACCTTGCACTCTGCCACTGCTGCCTACCTCTAACTCTACCCAGCTGAATTTCGCTGTTTCTTCCTCTGACTGTTGATGAGATGCTTGAGGCAACTGCTGCAATGGTGGCAGCAGGGGTAGGTGGCAGCAGGGGACAGCAAGGCAGCCAAAAGGATGGAGATGTGGGGATGTGATAGACAGATGGGGGAGTTGAATGGGAGCCTTATTTGCTTATTTGTTGAAGAACAGAGCTGACAGTTTTTCCAGAGCAGAAGAGTGAGGTGTTTTTTCAAAAGGCAACTGGACTTTGTTTTTCCTTGAAGGTGTTTTGCTTCCCATCCATCAAGGAAAACCAAAGTCCAGTTATCTTTTGAAAAAGCACCTTTGGGACAACCATGACCTAGATCAGGGCTCCCCAACCCCCGATCCATGGACCAGTACTGGGCCGTGGCATGCCAGCAACCGGTCTGCACAAACAAAGCCCCATCCATGAGATGCAGGCAGCACACAAAACCATGTATTCCGGTCTGCAAAAAAACCTCTCTCCATGGAACAGGTCCCTGGTGCCCAAAAGGTTGGGGACCTCTGACCTAGATGACCGAGAATCTCCATAGACAGAAGAATGAGGTCTTCACCTAATGACCGCCACTGGGACTACTAAAACTGCTGTCACTAAGCGGTAGTCACATGATATTTCACTTAACAACTGTTTTGTTTAGTGATGGAAATTCCAATCTCGCTTAGGGTTGTAAAGCAAGGACTCCTGTACTATTTTTTTAAAAAAATTAAGTAACACATCTTCAGCTATGTTTTAATATTAGGGATCATATTTGATTAGAATATGTGTGTATATGGGTATACATGTGTGTTCCATGTGTGTGTATATGAATAACTTTTTAAATATTGCCTCCATTTGATTTTTTAAAGGCTCTAAAGACAGAATGTGTGGCTGGAATAAGGTTTTAAGGGGAGAGATTTTAACTTGTTTTTAAAACTGTTGCAAATATATTTTATTGTTTACACTATAATTTTCATGTATCTCTCTACTATAAAATACTGAAAACTTGACTTTCAGTTTTCAGCAGTTATGATCAAAAGATGATCTAGGGGCTGTCAAAAGAGGAAGGACATAGTAGAGACTGTGTTTTTCCAATTCCTACAACTCTATGAATAAGACATGCATTGAATAATTCCTCGTAGTTTTAAGTTTTGGAAGTTTTAGTATGAAAGTTTTAGCTACTTTGAACAACAACTTGTGTTAAATGGATTTGAAAAAAATCATGTTCCTTTAGAAGCTGAAAACAATATCAAGCTATGACTACTTTTGCTCAGCATTTTGCAATTTTTTTTGCCATCTTTCCTCAAACACCTTGCAATGAAATATATAAGGTAAGAATGGCTTAAAAGTTACTTAAGTCACTGAATATGTATCAAAACTGTTTTACATATAGCAACTGGAATGCTTTAAGTAGTTAAAAGTAACTGTCAAAGAAATAGGCAAATGTCCAATATCTCATATTAATAGAGCCAAAAAGCAGTACTCACTAGAAATAAAAGTTAAAATTCACATTTAAGTAAAGCAAACATTGCTTAATCAACTAAACGTTATTAGTTTATTGTTATTTACTTTAGATGTAAGTTCAAAAATAAGAATCCATGACATGTAAGTTTCAAATAGCTGTAATGATTCATAAAAGAAGATCATGCCATTGGAAACATCTCAACCCAATTTTGTTATGAGCTTCCCAGACTAATTTGACAAAAGAAATTTTCACTGTGTCATATATTTTTCTGGATTTAACTAGTGAGACATTATTAATTCATTTAATATGAGAGTCTCACATTTACAGAGATATTAGAGGTGATATAGCAAACAATAAAAAGCACAAGGTATTTGGAACTGAAAATATACCTTATACCTAGGCAACGCACATAATTCTTGCAGTGTTTATCAGTATATGTAGGTCTTTTGGAACTGATTTAAGTAAACAACAATACTGTGTTTCTCTGAAAATAAGACCCAGTCTTATTTTATTTTTTTTGCCTCCAAAAGAGGCATCAGGGGGGTGTCTTTTCCACTCACCTCGCAGCGGCAGCACCGACAGTCCTGCCCAGCCAGCTCACTCCTTCTGTGGCCAAAGGAGCAGCTTCATTCTGCAGCTGACAATGGAGCTCCAGCCTGCATTTTGCAGTCAAAGGCCTTTCCGGGAGGCCTCTGCAACCGAGAGCCAAGCAATGGACTGAATCCATCGCTTGGTTCTCGGTTGCAGAGGCCTTCCGGAAAGGCTGACTGTGAAATGCAGGCCGGAGCTCCATTCTCAGCTGCAGAATGAAGCTGCTCCTTCGGCTGCAGAAGAAGTGGGCTGGTGAGGCAATGTTGATCCATGGGAGGCCTGGCTGCAATGGTAAGTTCTACCTCCCACCCCGCGCTGTAGCTTGATTTTTAGGCTTATTTTGGGGGTAGGGCTTATATTAGGCCCAGCCCAAAAATCAAGCTAGGACTTATTTTCAGGGTAGGTCTTACATTCGGAGAAACACGGTAGCACACCTAAATCTTTATATATATATATTTAAAAAGAATACATATATACAATTCACAGAAAACAGTACTTTCATAAGACAAAAAAAACTTTCAGAAAAGCAAAATTTTTATTTAAGTCCTCTAAATTTTTCTTAAGGATTTTTAAAATAATAATAGTAATTTACTAAACTTGTATACCACCCAACTCTCAATGACTTTGGGAGGCTCACAACAGCTCAGAAAACCTGGCTTTGATGTATTATTGTTTGTGTAGGACTCCTGTCATTGTGTTATATGTAAGATTATTTCAGTCTGGGCTGTCTGATTGATTTAATGTTTTTATTTGTTTTTATGGTTTGTCCAGTTTTGTATACCACCCAGAGTCCACTGGAGTTCACCAACTTATAAATTCAAATAAATAAAAATCATAATAATATTCTTCCTGCTAGATAAAACTTGTTTCATAAAATATATTTCAACTTGCATGAGTTACTAAGTAGAAACAATACATGCAAAATCAATAAAGTAAAACTATTTTCTTAACATTTAAATACATACCAGTAATCCATAGATTTCTGAGGAACTTCGCACTTTGGGAAGCATTTCCATGGGAATTTCAAAAAAACTAGAAGTATTTTTAAAAAGTTAGGGTGAATTCTTTCTTGTTAGTAATAAAAATAAAAGGTTTTATTTTTATTTTTTGTAAAGTCTCTGATACATTTGGAAACATTTCAGATTAAATCAAATCATTTAGTATTTGAAATTCTATATTTATTATAGTAAACAGCAAGACAAAATTTACCAAAATATACACATGTACATATAAAACGTACAAAAAGTAAGTGTAAATATAAGTCAAAGAATAAAAATATAAGGACACTGGATAAAGAGGTAAATAAAACAATATAATATAAATAAATAGAGGAAAATCAAGATTAATCAAATCAATCTTTATTTGGTCATAGAACAGCAAAAAAACCACAGGAGTCATGATTAATTAAGATAAAAGGAAAAAAATATAGTTATTCTAAAGGTTAATACTATGATCCATTATGCAAACTATTGCACAGTACTTGGGTGTGGTCAAGGAAATAAAATCAGATTTATCCGATAATAACATTGTGAGATAAAACAGATTGGAATGCGCAGATATTTAGTAAAGAATGGAAATAATAATTCCTGGCAAGCACCTTCATAGAGAGGCAATACAGAATTCCATCGATTCAATTATTCCTCCACCATATGGACACAGCCTCTGCTTGAACGGGATTTTTTGGTATCTTCCTTCAGTAATGGCTATTGAGAGGATATTGAAACTGGCTAAGGAAAAGGTCCTTCTGAATTTTGGGATTGTTATGTCACTGAGATATCCAGATGGCTAGAGAAATGCAGAATGACTAAAGAAGTATTTCTATGTAAAGCTGGGAAGTCTATTTGTAGCTCTAAATCAATGGCCTACTGTTTGAGATCAACTAGTGCACATTCATAGCCCATCAAGGTGTTGAGTAGCCATGAAAAAATATAAAGTTGCAATTTAGCATGTACTGCTTGGCTCCAGGAACACTGGAAGCTGTTGATATTCATCAAAGGGGCCAGAATCAAGATCTATAGCTAAAAGGCAAATAGAACAAAAAAAGGAACGGACTTCCAGTTTTGCGAAAACTCCGCTTCCCACGGCTCTTTTCACCCTGCCAGGGGACCCTAAATGGGTCTAAGCCATCCCAAAGAGGCAGTGAACAAAGAGAGGCACCCCAGCAATTCGGGAACGACGGTGGTTGTCCCATTCAATCGGGAAATTCCCTCTAATCCGACAGGAGAAAGGCTGGCCCCACCTCAGTAATCAGCCCAAGCTACTTGCAGCTGAAGTCCACAAGTATCCACCAGAACATCAGTGAACAGCATGCTGAAATTGGGTGAGAAATTTGATCTGAAAGTGAAAAGGAGGGGGGCTTTGCCCCACCCTCCCACAGAAGGAAGCGGCGAATTAAATTATTAAGGGGGACAAAAACATACTGTTGCTGACATCTAGTGGTAGAAGAGAATATATAACTTTAGCTGCTTTGTTATAAGTATTGGCAGGATGCCCAGAATGAGCTAACTTGCTTCTTTGATCTTTAAAAAGAGCTAAACAAAACATTCTGGGCCAGCCACAATAAGAAAAGATTATAATTGAAAAAACATAACTGACCTTCCTGGATGATAAACACCTATTGACTGTGATTTTAAAGCTGTTTTCAGAGGAAGAAATTTTTTTGAATTCTAGCTATCATGGCAAAAAGAACTTGTCAAGAAAAACCAAATACTTTCCAGGAGGAAATGCTTGCTAAGTTGCAACTAATCCAAACAACAATGGCTCTAAACCACAATGAAATTAAAAACAACTTTGATGACATAAATGGACATATCTTTACGTTAACTTCACAACATAAGAATTTTCAGAAAATGAAAGAATCTACCAATGGAAGGGATTGTGATTTAACGCAGATGGAGAAAAACACACAAAACGTGACTGAAGCACCGGAACTGGAAGAGATAGTCCACACTCCAGGATCACAAAACAAAGCCAAAAATAAAAAGAAAAGCCTGACAAAATGGATTACAGAGATACCAAAAAATCTACAACTTGAGAGACAAAAAAAAGATAAAAGAAATCAACATCCTACCTGATTTGTCTCTCCCATCTTTAACATCCAAAAGAAAATGGCAAGACTTTTTAACTAAGTGGAATAGATGGATGAGAAAAGCCGTTCGGCGAAAGAAAAAGACTAAAATCAGATTCAAGGGATTAGAAGATTGGACCTATCAAAAGCAATTTTTAAAGGTTAAGCATTTGTTTGAATATGGTTAAAATATAATATGGTCTGCTCAACCAGTAACTATTGAATGGAATAGTTAAAACACAAACACATACATACACACACACACACACACACACACGGAGATAGATAGATAGATAGATAGATAGATAGATAGATAGATAGATAGATAGATAGATAGACAGACAGACAGACAGACAGACAGACATAGAGATAGACAGATAGAGATATAGTTAGATATAGATATATAATATGTGAAATGTAACTGTCTTATCAGATGCAATTTTTAAAGATTAAGTATTTGTTTGAATGTGGTTAAAATATAACATGGATTACTTAATTAGTAAATATCGAATGGAATAGGGTTAAAAAATGAAAAAAATGGAGGCTATAAATGAATTTTAGTTTGAGAAAGAGATGTTTTTCTTTCTCTTTTTCTTCTTTCGTATTCTGAGTAGTATTGTATTTTTTTTATGATATGAGAAATGTAATTGTTGGGAGGATTATTGTGAGGTAAACAGCTTAGATATTTAACTGTAAACCAACTTTGACAAAATCTTAAAAGATAAAAATGATTTCAATTTTGTGGGGAAAAAGTCTAAATGAGAATGTTGAAAACAGTACATATAACGCAACCAAGAGGACTAACTAGAAAAAAAGTTCTATATTGATGCTATTAATAATTGGATAAATGTTAGAAAAATGTTTATATTTAACCTCTTTGTTACTAAAATACTAAGAACTGTATTAACCTAATGTTTGCAAAAGAGAACAATATGGGAAGAAGAGAAAATCAAAGGAAGCTGTTATTTAGAGTACGATATGATAGAAATTGACTATTATTGATTGTTGTGAAATGTGAACCCAGACAACATGCTGTTAGTAAGCACCAGGTTGTTAGTTTTTAAAAAATCAATAAAATATATATTAAAAAAAAAAGAAAGGGATAGAACTAGGCAAACTGAAAGTATATAGCAGATAGCAGGGTAGAAATTGTGCTCTGTACCCAGAGATTTTTCAGGGTGACACTGATAAACGTAATGTGAGTGTCCTTCTAAAGGGAACAACAAAAGAGCACATGACTCAACGACTCTAGTGACCCATCTTTGCAAGGGTGTCCTTATGGTTCTCTCCACAGGAAAGTTCTAAGGACAATAAGCTAAGGTAAAAGCCCTATGAAATGTCAATATTTTAATGTATTAATAATTGAAACCTTCTAAGCAATAATTTGTAATTGTTGGTGCATTCCATATAAAAGTTTTCTACACGTGTTCTTGGAATAACAGCTGTTAAAATTAACTATTCTGCTGTAAAATTCTTATTTCCAAGAAAACCAGATTAAGGTCTTAATCTGAAATGTTGAGCATAATTTTTATTTATCTGTCAAATTTCTATGACCACCCATCTACACAAGGTGACGCTGAGAAGCATACAATAAAACCTGCCATTTCAAATATGCAGAAGTAAATTACTTACTTGCAGAGCTCATCATCCCATTCTAATGAATGAATGTTGAACAACATTGTCCTACTGGCATTGGTTACATCAGTGCAATGAATACCTCCATTTTTTCCACCAGTCAAACTCTTAAATGAATGAATAAACAAGTTTTGATTATTAAATTGATAGAAGAATAGAAAAAATGTGCAAACTGTAAATTTGCTTTTATTTACAAAAATTATCTATAAGAAAATAATTAATCAGCTACAATTTTAACCTAGCATGTTGTGTGTGTGTGAGAGAGAGAGGGGGGGAATGGATGCCTTTTAGCAGGGGTGTCAAACTGCCAGCCCATGGGCCAGATGCATCATGCAGAAGCTGCACCCATCCCAGCTCTGGCAAGGGGGAAAAAGTTGTGATATGTCGCAACACGTCATGTGATGCAGTGACTTTGACACCCTGCCTTATAGGTTAAGAGTACTTTTACTGTAGCAGATATAGCAACAGAACGTAGCAAGTCTGAATGTACTTCCCATTTTATTTTATTTTTATCTGACACTAAGGAGGAGCTTGTCTTAGATGTCTTTTCAATTTTTTTCTTGACTCAAGTCTCTCTTTTCTGACTATGTAACGGTATGTGAAAATGACCTTGGGAGATGGGAGAGGAAAAGATGCTGGATAGGAAATGATCAGATATGAGAGGGCATAGCCTTCAGAATGCATAATGGGCAGAGAAAGACATTCAGAAAGGAACCTTAAACTGTAAGATTTGTATTATCAGACTGGTAAGATTCTGTTAATGTGTCCTTATGATTAAGTAGAATTAGCTCATCTGATTATGTTTCCTATCTGGTCTACCTGGAGTGCTGACAGAGTGGTGCCTTTGTAGCAGCTATTTCTCTTGTCCTTTAAGGCCATTACCTATGCCTGCTAGTATGTGTTTGTGTGTGTGGTGTATGTGTGTGTGTGTGAGAGAGAGAGAGAGAGAGAGAGAGAGAGAGAGAGAGAGAGAGAGAAAGACAAACAGACAGATAGATGGACAGAGACAGACAGAATTATATAGTTGACTTCAGTTCTTAAAACATCAGTTCTTAAAGGCTTTAACACTTCAAAAGGGATTTGAAATTCTATTAAATGTGGATTATATTAGAGATATAAATGCCTAAAAGAAGACAAACATGCCAGAGCTACACATTTTGCAAGCATAACCTGCTAGGCTCTTTAGCTGTATGGAGAAACTATTTTTCTCACTCTTTTATCATATATATACTCAATGTATAGGATAAACGCATATTTATCTCTAAATCAGAATTTCCCAAATCTGGGTAAGTTACCTAAGAATGGTAAAAATGGGTTTTTGGGGGGATAATGTCACATGAACCTATTACACAAACACAACAGGGACATTTAAATTAACTGAAAGTGTTTTACCTATATTGAGTAAAAAGGACTTTCTGATAAGCAGTTTTGGATAATTAAGGAAAAATTTGGGAAGCATTAATTTAGAATATTATTAAACCCAACTTTATGATCAAAACTGAATGAATGTTTGTACATATTTGTTCATCAAGGATGATTTACATTCATTATATCCAATTTATTCTGCTAATAATGTTCTAGACAGTCTATACATGAATACTAATGTTCCTAGGAATATGACAAAGGAGGTTGACTTTTTCTTGAATAGTTTTAAGGATGTTAAAATCAAGCTGAGGAAGTATAGAAATGAAAGAAATTGATTTAATTATTGCATATTGATACATACCCATATTAACCATGAATCAATAGTACCAAAAAGAGCACTCCCATCAAGAACTGCTTGCCTGATCTCTTTCACATTGTCCAAAAGCCAACGTAGCTTCACAGCACTGAAATATGTGCTAAGAGGGAGACCAGTTCTACTCTGCAAGATTGAAAGATAATAAATCATGCATAAACATCTACAGTACAACAAATCTGCTAATCTGCTTCTTCATTTTTCTGTTGTTATTGTTGTTGCTGTTGTTATTATCATTGTATTATTATGTAGCTTTGACTCAGTCTGCATTCCTGGAAACTACCTGGCCAAGTCAATGCAGTTATCTTGGGAATGTTTTTGGAAGTGATTTGACATTCCTTCTTTCTGCAGCTGAAAGTGACTGACTCAAAGAAATCCTATAGGCTTCACACAGATCTCACAATCTCCTAGTTTCCTTAGTGCCTTTAATCACTACTCCAGAGGTCTTCAAACTTGGCCCTTTTATGACTTGTGGACTTCAATTCCCAGAATTCCTCAGCCAGGTACACTGGCTGAAGAATTCTGGGAGTTGAAGTCCACAAGTCATAAAAGGGCCAAATTTGAAAACCCCTGCACTACACTAAACTAGTTCTCTTTTTTTCACTAGCATGAGCATAAAAAAAGAATGATTTGCACTGTGTAATTATCAGACATACTCTAATTATTCTAAGATCAGTTTTTACCTTAAAAAAGGATTTATTCTTTCCTGGAATCCTTTTAAGAAGTCTTTCAACAGTAGATTGAGTCCTTAGGTCAAGCCACACTAGAATCCAAAGACAAGCATTAATATCAGTAAAAGTAAATATTTAAGCAATGCATTGATTGAATAGAATCAGGTTCTGAATCTCTGAATAGGTCTCTATTGACAAATTTCTCAGAAGCATCTAATATAGTTTATATATTTTGTATGTCTTCCTGAACCATAGGAATAACCTTATTCAAGATAGGCGAATTAAGATTAGATTTTTAAATTGGTACTTTATCATTGTAAACCATGCTTCTTCTCGTTAAGCTAATGTAATTTCAGTTCCAAATAAAAAATTATTTACCTAATCAAAATGTTTAAAGTACAATGAGTAAGCCTGTATCATTTAATAATTTATCTAACAAAATACTTTTTAAATAAAAACTAAGATTTACAAACCAAAATAAAATAAAAAATGAGAGTAGACATTTTAAAAACAGAGAAGAATGAAACCACAAGTTAAGCTTATATATATGAATAATTCAGATTTCAGAATTTAAATTACAAGATCATACAGGAATAGTTTTTTCTTCATTTCATAGGTCTATTCTTAGCCCATATTCTTTTAGAGGGGCTTTATTCATTCTGAGAGCATCTCCTGGGATACAACCAGTAAAAATTGGATATGCTCAAAGCAATTCTATTATAGCAATTTATGCTTAATTACCAATTCTTAATTAATGTGTTTTCCATGCATATAAGCATTTAGAAGTGTTCTGTCAATGCTTGCAGCTTGTTCAAAATGTGCAACTTAGCGGCTTACCCATTTAAAATGTAAAATTTATTTTGTATTACTATGAACACTTTGTGCAGGCAACTGAATGAAAGAACACCAAGTTGAAGAATTATGGTGGAATGAAACAAAAAAATATTTTTTGTCCTTATGATTGATTCTCATATCTTGATTCAACAGTTCATTTAGAAATCATGATGAATTAATAAATTATGCTTCAACTAAGTCCATTAGTTTGTTAATAGAACAAAACCAAAAATAGAACAAATAGAACAAAAACAGTAGAACAAATCCTTCTAAAGAAGAGAGCAAAAATGAGAATTTTTAGAGCTGCTTTGAAATACAAAGAATTCTTTGGGCATCTTTAAACATAAAGACAAAAAAACAAAGACTAATATCTGGTGCAACATATTATTATTGATGTTCATAGAATATATAAAATATATGTGGGTATGAGAAGAACTATATCAATTAAAAAGTATTTACAACAGTTCAATAGACTTACCAATAGCATTATACAGAGGTTCTCCAGTTTTTTTGTCCCAAACTACAGTTGTCTCTCTCTGATTGCTAACTCCAACAGCTTTTAAGAACAAAACAAACATTCTATCATTTTCCAGATTACTACATGTTTTGGATCAGCAAAACTTTGCTTTTGAATGAAATCGTTTCTGACTTCTGAGAATAAAAAGATCATCCAGATTGAAGTACAATGTGGCCGAGGGGACAACATTGGGAGAAAGGTATTAACAGAATTCAGCACAGCTAATTTGCCCAAGCAAGTGCCTTCCGGCTCACTTAATACAATTTTGGATTGGTTATAATTCTAAAATATTTTAGTTTCCTTTAAAAATATTTCAGTAACATCACATTTATTCTCCATTCACATCTGTAAGTTATTTATGTATATCACTTTCTTCTCTTGATTTGGAAGGATATTCATGATTATTATAGAATTAAAAATACCTTTTATGTTGGAAATGTCTATATTCAGCTGGTTCAATTTCTCGCATGTTCTTTCAACACATTCATAGACAGACTGCAATATTTCCTTTGGGTCTTGTTCTACCCACCTTGAAAACATCAAGGCTCACATTAGAAGTCTCGCAATTGATATGATAGTCAACAAACCATAATGGCTCATTTGCTTCATTGCCTTAGAAGGAGATGACCATTTACCAACAATAGTTTCATTGAGTATTAACCAGTTTCCTACAAGCAGAATGAGTGTACCTTTTCACATTTAATTCTTCCTACAAAAACCCGCAAGATTACCTGCCAGGTAACATACATAAAGAAGAGGGAGTCAAGCTATTTTCCAAAGCGCCTGGAGGCAGGACAAGAAGCAACGAGTGGAAACTAATCAAGGAGAGAAGCAATCTAGAACTAAGGAGAAACTTCCTGACAGTGAGAACAATTAACCAGTGGAACAACCTGCCTCCAGAAGCGGTGAATGCGCCAACACTGGAAGTTTTTAAGAAGAGACTGGACAGCCATTTGTCCGAAATGGTATAGGGTTTCCTGCCTGAGCAGGGGGTTGGACTAGATGAC